CCCCCAAAACCCCAAAACCCCAAAACCCCATGTAAAAGCTAAAAATACTAATTATAATAAAAAGTTATTTTGCAGAAGTTTAACAAACATGGAACAAGAAGAGAGTCAAATTACCAGCCCTGAAGTCCTCAATCAGTCTGGAAATCAGGTAAGGTTCAAGTTCTCAAGAATTCTGAGTTACCCTACAGTCTCGAGAAACAAAGGAGCTTATGCAATATAGATGGGTGCAGAAAGATCAGAGCCTTTTGAATATAGCGAGAATACTCAAACATTGGATGAAGGCTATACTGAGAAAGAGATCGAGCAGGATGAAGATCAAGAGTATGTAAAAGATGAAAATATGGGAGAAGGAGATGAGGAAAGGAATGGTAAAAACTTGATTGATGTTTTAGAGGAATTAGAAAAATCTAATCCCATTCGTTTGACACATAGTGGTAAGTATTAACGGGAACAATAGAGTAGCTTCAATTAATTGTTTAATTCTTTCATAATACGACAGAGTTTTTGTAAGAAAGATGCGCAAACTTTAACTATAAACGCTATTTTTAAGCACAACAAAAATATTATCTTCGTTAATCTTTATTAGATTTTTTACCAATATTGCTTAAATGGATGTGGTACACTAACAGGATAGCCATGACCTACAAGCATTACAAATAAAACGATATATTTTTAAATTACTCAAGCAATATTTGATTATCGACTCGAGTAATTTTCCTCAAACCTCTTTAAAGTAAAAAAATTCATAATGAACCATATAGTGAAAATAGTTTAAAAATCACAATCTTCAATTTCTGTATTACAAAGTAGCGGATCTCTCTACTAATAATGCTTAGTACTATATCTTCTTATTAAGGTTGTATCAACATTAGAATAAACTTCAAATCAGTTAGATAATATTTGGACTGGCATTTCTGGAATTCTGCCGCTTTCTAATATGGCTGCCCTAATCCTATCCACTTCAAAATAATATGTTATTAAAATTTTACTCTTTATTGGTAGTTGAACCATCCGAAGTTTTTACCTATTTGGGTGGCAAAAATTATCCAATCATGTATGAATTCTTATTGGATTGGATAAAAATTGCTTTCACTCTGTATGAAGGATAGCTTATGTTTTATAGAGAAAATGATGCTGAACTCAGCTAAAATTGGTGATAAGGGACCCCAAATTGAAAGCGATCATTATGGCAAGCCGAGAAAAACCATATCTGAGTGATAGTTAAGTGTAATGTTTAGTGAAGAGAATGATGCAGAATTTGATGGCTTTGTCATTATCAATGCTCCTGGAAGCATGAAAACTATAAAAGAGTAAGTACTTTTATTAATTTTTTATAGAGATGTAAAGGATGAAGACTCCTCATGTAATTTTTTACTTTTTATTATTTTTCTTAGAAAATTTTAAAGTATTTTAAATATTACGAAACATCTCAATAGCATAAACAATGAAGAAAAAAGGCAATTAATTGTTGCATTTATAATAAAATTAAACCAATAATAAGCTTTTTAAATCCTTCCTACGGCAAATAAAAATAAAGGTCTCTTAAAAATTATTACTCTTCGATCTCACTGTCCTTCACCACTTTTATAGCAAATTCTCAAGGATATGAATCCGGATGCTATTTAATTTCAAGCAAAGTAATTTTCATTTTGATTGCACTAACTTCTATAGACTAGTACTCTCGAAGCATCTCACGAAAACAATTCAGCGTTTTCTGTTCTTACAGACAAGTTTTGCAGCAGCATTAAAAGTTGTAAGTTATTTATGACAAAAGTGTAACCAGAATATAGATGGTTTGAAATCATCTTGTTTTAATGGTTAGACTTTACTTTGCATATTGTTAGAGATCCAATAATTATGCTATTGTAAATTGATTTATTTAATCAAGATTAAATTTATAGTAAATTACTTTAATCTTAATCATAATAGTTCCTTTATAACATATGCAGTCAAAAACATGACTGATATACATCACCTAATTTTGATTTTTCTCCTCAAAACACCGATTTATTTTTTTCACTACATTTTCACAACACACACATCTATCTCCCAATTCTCCATAACACCTAAACATAGTCAAGAATTCAATCATGAAAGAAAACTCCAACCCTTAACATCCCTCCAATCCACTCCACCCCAAGATGTTAGAATCCCCCGCATAACATTCATTTACCTTCTAACATTTTCACCTAAAAATCCCACTTGTTCTTTACAACTCATATTTCTTTTACTGTCTCTGCTCCAAAGTTATAGGCAGGATGATGATTTCTTTTGGGATGAGGCTGGGTTCTGGTAGGTTTTTAGGGTGTTGGCGTAGGTGGGGAATGGGGTAGGGAGGAAAGGGCTTGTGAGGGGGGGTTTAGTTGGAGGGTTTCAGTTGTGTGGAGGCTTGCTGGGGTTTTGGGGTTTTGGGGTTTTGGGGTTTTGGGG